TTTTTAATATAGTCATGAACATATTAATTTACTCACAGTCAATAATGAAATATTATTTTTTCAACATTTTGATGGACCTTATTATCCAACTTTAAGATTGCTTCATAAATGTAATTAACTTTTATTTCAATTCACCATCGTTAACGAATGACTATAATAACATTTCTTTCTTTTTTTCTAAAAAGATCCTGATGCTTTTCCGAAATTGCAGGTAGACAAAGGAGCAATAAAATTTATTTTATCAGGAGCAAATATTATGTGTCCGGGACTTACAAGTAAGGGCGCAAGAATGGATGAAGATTTGCCTGCTAATACAGTTGTTGGAGTATTTGCCGAAGGCAAAGAACATGCTCTTGCTATTGGTTTAACTAAAAAGTCAACTCAAGACATGTAAGTAATTCTTATTATTATTACAATTACAAAGTTAAGTTAACCATATTGATTTCTCAAATATTTTTTTTGAATTTGTAGTAAAAACATTAATAAGGACATCGGAGTTGAAAATGTTCATTATTTAAATGATTCATTATGGAAAAGTACTATTGAGATATAAGAAATTTTTAATATTTTAATGTATTTATAATTATTTTTTATAATTATTGTACTTTAATGAAATTTATAAAAAGGCTACTTAGACCAGATAATATAGAATCTGATAAAAACATTTGAATTTTAGCCGTGAGAATTTGAACATAAGATTATAAAAAATTGTCGAATAGTTCAATATATTTGTATGGTCATTCACTAAATATTTGTTATTTTGTTTAAAATTGAATGTCATATCACCTTCATAAGTGCGCCTCCATAAGTGCAATTCTTTCTATATGCATTCTTGGTTTGGTCCCAAACTCGAAACTTTTATTATGCACGTGACATTCAAACTCTGATTTTTTAAAAGTCAATATTTGATAAGTAAAAATTTAAATAACTGTGTATAATATGACAATATCTTTGAAAAAAACTTTATTATTAGATAATGTATTTAATTATTAGAAAGTAATTTTTACATTTTGCAAAAAAAAAAAAATTTTTAGGCTTAATAATCTATCATAATTAAAAGTAATTATACTTGTAAAATAATAATAAACCTATAAATTAAAGAAAGTAGATTATTAAAAGTATTTCAAAAAAATTAAATTTTATTATTTATTTAAATTAAAAAAAAAATGAAATGAAAACATTATTTAATATAATTTTTACTTTTACTTTAGTATTATTTAATAATATTAAAATTAATTATATATCTTAAATTAATATCTTTTAAAAAATCATTTTTATTAATAAAAATAAAATCTTAACTATCCTGATATCACTCTAAAAAATAATAGTTAGATTTATTTATTATGTTACATAAATGTGATATATATAATTATGATAATTAGTATTTTTTTTACAAAAAAATTTCTAAGTTTTCAGAATACTTAGTAAAATGAAAAATGATTAAAATGTAATATGATGTAATAAATTTCTTAACCCTTTTAACTAATCCTAATTATATTTTAATTAATCTTAATAATAATTACCTAGCAAAATAAATCTGACTACTATTTTTATTTTAAATGATATTATTTATGTAAATTAAAATCTTTATATAATAATAAAATATAAATTCAAAAACTTGAATTTATTTCTTATTTAAAATTATTTTAAATTACTGATATTAAATAATTTAAGAAATATATTATTATAAAATCTTCACAAATTATAGCAGTTAAATAAAATATTTGAGTAATAAATTCTTTTAAATTATATAATAATTTAATTATAAAAGTAACATTTTATTACTTCTAATAGTAAATTACAAATAAAATAATTTACAAAGGTATAAAGATTTTAAATTGATTTAATTTAATAATATTTTATTAATAAGGAATAAAAGTAAGTTAAAAAGATAAAAATATTAAAAGAAAATAAAAGAAAATAAAAAATAAAATCAAAAAAAAATTAAAAAACTAAAGATAAATT